TGAAAACTGACCTTTTCCAGTCCTGTGGCCACTGCTGAGTTTTCCAAATTTGCTGACATATTGAGTGCAGCACTTTCACAGCATCATCTTTCAGGATTTGAAATAGCTCAACTGGAATTCCATCATCTCCACTAGCTTTGTTCATAGTGATGCTTCCTAAGGCCCACTTGACTTCACATTCCAGGATGTCTGGCTCTAGGTGAGTGATCACACCATCATGATTATCTGGGTTGTGAAGATCTTTTTTGTATGGTTCTTCTGTGTATTCTTGCCACCTCTTCTTAATATCTTCTGCTTCTGCTCGGTCCATACCATTTCTGCCCTTTGTTGTGCCCATCTGTGTATGAAATGTTCCCTTGGTATCTCTTAATTTTCTTGAAGAGATCTCTAGACTTTATCATGCTATTGTTTTTCTCTATTTCTTTGCACTGATCCCTGAGGAAGGCTTTCTTATCTCTCCTTGCTATTCTTTGGAACTCTGCATTCAAATGGGTATATCTTTCCTTTTCTCCTTTGCTTTTCGCTTCTCTTCTTTTCACAGAGGTAGGAAGTGCCTATTGGTACCTTCTGAATTCTGTAATGTGCATTTTTAACTGTTTGAATAATTAGTAATTAGCATAAAATACTGTATTTTACAGGGATGAAAGTGAACCTGCCCAAATAGAAGATTCAAGTGCTGTTAAACCTGATGGCTGGCTTGATAATGAACCAAAATTTATTCCCGATCCTAATGCTGAAAAACCCCTTGATTGGTAAGCATTCTTCACCTTCAGATGTCAGTTTCCTGTTTCTTTCATGCTCTTTTGTTACCAGTTGATATGACTGACAGGAGAGTCTTGAGGTTACTCCATGTGCTTTGTTCTGATACCCTAAGGAATGAAGATATGGATGGAGAATGGGAGGCGCCTCATATTTCTAACCCAGCATGTCGGATTGGGTGTGGTGAGTGGAGCCCTCCCATGATAAATAACCCGAAATACAAAGGAATATGGAGACCGCCAATGATAGATAACCCTAACTACCAGGTAATCACCACTTTTTCCCATCCCATAGTAAACTTTCTAAAACGCTGTGCTCTTTTATACATCTAGTTATTAATGTTATATTAACTTGAGGAAATTTGATTTGTAATAATGTGCCTTAGCTATCTGAAGTCAAAGAAAATAGATTCCAGCCAATTTATGTTTAAAAAGTAAAGTGGGGCTAGCTTCCCTGGTGGCTCAGTGGTAAAGAATCTGCCTGCCTGCAGGAGACACAGTCCTGATCCCTGGTTAGGGAAGATCTCACAGGCCAGGGAGCAGCCAAGCCTGCGTGCCCCAGCTATTGAGCCTGTGCTCCAGAGCCCGGGAACCACGATTGCTAAAGCCGGTGTGCCCTGGAGCCGTGCTCTGCAACAGGAGAAGCCCCTGCAGTGTCCTCCCCAGCCTGCACGCCACAACCGGAGAGCTGCGCCCACTCGCCCCGCCTAGGGGAAAGTCAGTGCGGCAGCAGAGACGCAACACAGCCAATAAATAAACAAACATTCTTAAAGTACAGCGTCCTTTAGTTTTCTGGGGTAATAAAACTTAATAACTAAAGATAAGTCACTTCATGCTATTTTCCTTAGTAATCAATTGATCACTTTGGAATATTTTATTTTAGCATTAAATATAAGAATTGAGTTCTGATCAAGAGGACTCACACTGTACATTTTAGTAATTGAAGTCTGTGCTTGCTATGGTTTTATTAAAATTCCATTTTTTTCTAATATGAAACAGATATTTTTTGCATATACTTAGCTTTTGGGGTAGAAGTCCTTATGTTGTTCATTCAATGCTGTAGTTTTATCTAATTATTCATTGACATTTTCTAACATATATTTTATATACACAGTTATAGACTCTTTTTGCTCACTGTAGTTTTTCTTCATAGAATGACTGTTTTGATAACTTTTGTTTGAGATATATCTTTCCTTCATCAGACTTTAAACACCATGATGCAGGGACCATGTCTGCCTTGATTATCACAGCAGAGCATGCGGCATAGTGCTTGGCACAGAATAGACGTAGGTGATGGCAAGATGAGTCACTGAGTGATCATATCGTCCAGTTTATTTGATTTGGTTGACTTTAATCATTTAAGTCTTAATGGAACTTCTGTGTTGAATAATTGTTCTGAGATTCAACCATGAGTGACTGTTGATGCCCATCATAAGTGTATGTTAAAAGACATGGTTCCATTTTTGCCATACAGTAATCTCTTTGATTTGAGCAATTTTAATGATATTGTGCCTTGAGTATCTTTACTAAATGTAAAAAAGAAAGAAACTCATCTAATATAGTATCAATTGTGAAATTTATTTATTTATTTTTTCCATTTATTTTTATTAGTTGGAGGCTAATTGCTTTATAGTATTATAGTGGTTTTTGCCATACATTGACTTGAATCAGCCATGGATTTACATGTGTTCCCCATAGAATTGGCNCTTCATCAAATTATGCTACAACTTCATTATAAACTGTATAGTGAATTATATATATGTAAATCTTCATTTATTAGATTATGATAGCATAAATGGATTGAATGCCTTTTGATTGTTTATAGAAATGAGACTGTTATTACTACTATTAGAAATGAGACTTAATATCTTGTCACCTTATCAGTTTGAGGCCTAAGTGGGAACAGAAATCTAAACCTTTATTAATTTTAACTACTTTTCACTTAAAAGAGTACAGAAACTTTTAAAATTTAATTATTATGTTCTAGTTTTTCCCCAAAATTTTAACACCACTTAGGAAAGCTTAAGCTAAATATTTCAACACAGTGCATCTTGGAGAATCTTATCTAGCTTTAAAACCAATTACCCTAAAGAAAAATGTACCTTATATTAGGTTTCTTTGAATATTAGCAAAAACCTCAAAAGAGTAAATAAAGGTAAAAGGATTCTCATTTTGAAACTCTTTTAACTAAAACATTTGAGCAATTTGCTTCCTGAAGTTTGTGTGTGAAATTTGTTAAGAAATAAGAAAAAACATAGCTATTCTTAGGCTGACTTTTCTTTTTTTTTTGTAAGTTCTTTAAAAGTACAAAATGAGTTAGAGAGTTTACTTCTAAATGAACCAAATAATACATCCATGATGAGTAGTACTATCCTGAAACTTACCAGAAAAGAGAACTGTCCTAATTCTTGCTGGAGAATTAGCAGTATTCACCTGTATAGTATAATGTATCTTCTACTACCCGGTGTCAAACTGCAGTGCATGTGAATAATTACAGCTTGTTTAAGGGGCTTCCCTGGTGGCCCGTGGCTAGGACTTGGTGCTTTCAGTGCAGGGGTCCTGGGTTTGATCCCTCGTTGGGGAAGTAGATCCCACGTGCCACAACCAAGAACTGGCATGCCAGATAAACATTTTTTTTTTTTTAAAGATTGTTTAAACTTAACAAAGTATAAAATCGAAAATATTTTTTGTCTTATAAGTTTGACTCCTTAGTAGAATACTACCTAGGTGAAATAAGTTTTTTTGTTTTTGTAGGCTGTATTTATGAATGAAAGTTTATAAAATCTGAATTGCCTTTTTATGCTTATTTCTTCTTTAGCCTAGTATATTCAAACAATTGATGTCAGCTACTGAACAGCGCCCGTGGCTTTGGTTCATTTACCTTGTGACAGCAGGGCTTCCAATAGCATTAATTACTTCATTTTGTTGGCCAAGAAAAGTAAAGGTAAAGAAAATGAATTTCCTTCAATGTTAAAAAAAAATCTCTTAGTGTTTAGGAGTTCTATAAATGGAGTCAGGAGTTCCTAAAAGTACTAAACTAAATTTCCTGTAAGTTTTTACTGAGAGTTCACTGTGTATGATATCAGTTCAGTTCAGTTGCTCAGTCGTGTCTGACTCTTTGCCACCCCATGGACTGCAGCATGCCAGGTTTCCCCGTCCATCACCATCTCCTGGAGCTTGTTCAAATTCATGTCCATCGGTCCATGATATTATCCAACCACCTCATCCTCTGTCGTCCTCTTCTCCTTCCACCTTCAATCTTTCCCAGCATCAGGGTCTTTTCAAATGAGTCCGTTCTTTGCATCAGGTGGCCAAAGTATTGGAGTTTCAGCTTCAGCATCAGTCCTTCCAATGAACACCCAGGACTGATCTCCTTTAGGATGGACTGGTTGGATCTCCTTGCAGTCCAAGGGACTCTCAAGAGTCTTCTCCAACACCACAGTTCAAAAGCATCAATTCTTCNTGTGATATCCGTCATTGCAAAAAAAAAAAAAAAAGATGTTCTTTTAAAATAGTGCTTTGCTTTTAGTAAAAATAGCTTATGTTAAACTACCACAGAAAAAATATGATGAAGATGTGGATTTCAAAAAACTGGACATATGTAAACCACAAACCAAGGGCGCACTGGAGCAGGAAGTGAGGGAAGAGAAAGCCGCCCTGGAGAAGCCAGCTGACTTGGAAGAGGAAAGAAAGCAAAGTGATGGTGAAATTGTTGAAAAAGGTAGGACAGTGATGGCAATATATAAAGGGGGCCCTGGGCAGAGCTCATTAAAAACAGTAGATTAAGTGGTACACACTAGCTGTTGCACTTGTCTGTTGTCAGATTTATACCATCTGAATCTGCAAGAGTGTGTGACTGTGGTGAAGAGGAGTACCATCCTTGCCTGGGTTGTACCTGAGCAGACATCCAGTGTATGAGTTCTCTCTTCTAGGAAGAAAGGGTTGTCAGAATTGTTCAGTTGCTTCAGAACCTAGCAGCTATCAATCCCATATGTCAGAGGTTTTTGCAAGGGTTTTTCTTTCCTCCAAGGATGGGATGGGAGGCACAGATCACAGCTTCTGTGGAGGAGTAATTGGTTTAAGACAGGTGATGCAGCAACAGAATCCACACCGAGGGCTGTTGTTTATCAAATAGTTATCATATCAAACCAGTAGTTTAATCTATTCAAAGGATTGCTGAATCATATGTCCCTTCCTACCCTCAACTAAACTCCAGAAGACGTTAGAAGTGAAGACAACTGCAGCTTTCTGGCACCTCTCCAGTGAGGCTTCCTTGTACACATCTAGGTAGCAGTAAAACTATTGATGTTTGCCAGATGTCCCAGGCCAGGCTCCAGAATGAGCCCTTTATAACCTGCACTATGTTTTGAGCACTATTTTTAACTTAATAGTTGATGAAACAGTTGACTCAAAAACCATGCTCTCTCAAAGCACACATGTATATTTACATATTTATGTGTATACATACGCATATATTCTTTGATTCATTTCACATACAGACTGAATTTTTTAAAATTCTTTAAAAAAAAATTCTTTAAACCTGCTCCTTTCTCCAGATATGATGATTTATTTATTGTTGTTGTTTAGTTGCTCAGTCATGTCCGACTCTTGGTGACCCCATGGACTGCAGCATGCCAGGCTTCCCTGTTCTTCACTATCTCCCACAGCTTACTCAAACTCATGTCCATTGAGTTGATGATGCCATTCAGCCATCTCATCCTCTGTTGTCCCCTTCTCCTCACACCCTCAACCTTTCCCAGCATCAGGGTCTTTTCCAGTGAGTTGTGGTAAAATAACGAGTACTTGTATTTAATTTTAAAAAATGTCTAATGAAAGACATTGCTTTCAAATGTTGGAATTTAAATGCACTCCTCCACTTTTACTTAATACTTTTAAGTAGAAAAATTGTAATTCATTGAGTCTTTTTCCTTGAATAAAATCTGTTTAATAAAAAATTCTAGAAGAGGAAGGTGAACCTGAGGAAAAGAGTGAAGAAGAAATTGAAATTATAGAAGGACAAGAAGAAGGTAATAAATCCAATAAGTCTGGATCAGAGGATGAGGTAAGCATCTCTTTAACAGAAAATAAACTAGTTTCTACGTATGATTGTTAGTCTATAAAAATATTTTAATAAAAGTAGTGATCTCGTTTGTGAAGAATTTTTTTGCCATATTTTCTCCCAGCTTTCTTAAAGAGCATACATATTGGTATAAAATGTATCCATAAGGAAAGCATGAAAAAACTAATTCATATCCTCCTAATGCCTAATGAAATAGTATAAAATAAGCCTTTGGTTTGCAAAATAGAGAACTACATCTGTTTAAAAAAAAGAATTTTTATTGAAGTGTTTTGTTGAAAGTTGTAACAAGCAGGCCAATTGAATATTTAAGAGGTAATTATGTTTATTATAAGGCAGTCTTCTTTATAGCCATTGTGAAAACATTCTGTCACGTTTATATTTACTGTAAAATTTTAAAGGATTTCATTCATTGGCTAGTGGAGTACTGTGTCTAGTTGTGGTGTTTTTCTCAAATCTTTAAGCTTGGTTTTTTCATTAACTTGATATGTCTGCCCTTTTTTCCCCCATCCTGATGTATAATAAAATTTTTCACAGTGCCCTTTTTTATAGTCAGTTATGAAATCAGAATCATCCAAGGTATAATTCAGAATCAGAGGTTTCTTTTTTCTTTTTCTTTTTTTAACCTACTATATACCCCCAAAAGCCTGTTTTCTCTACTTCTGGCCTTTTGAGAGCTGCACAACCTTACCCGACAGAGTCACTGTCCCCATCACTCTCGTAGCTTAGAGGTAGGCAGGGTAAATGTCCATGATGCCTGGACTGTTGTGTATGAATAAACATTCTGTTTTGTCTGTTTGAAGAAATCACCCAAATAAATATGTTTTTATTGTTTTAAGTGTTTTCTAAAGCTTATTCTGTACATATGCCTGGTTACTAGTCTTAACTGTCTTGTGAGTTTTTAAATATATTTGGGGGATCATTACAAATACCTTATTGAGAGGGATCTGGGTGAAGAAAGTTTCTTCCAGAACATAGTTTTAAACAGTCCTTGTTTCCCTCTGTTATATGTTTAATAATAATACTTGTAATTATACATGGAACACTTATTCTAGTTATATTTTGCTTTGTAAAAAAAATATTTTGTGTACCTTTAAAAAGTATATTAATTCCATGTTCCAGTCTTTTAATCTTTTATGCATTTGTCAGTGAGCTAAAATAAATCAATTTTTATATAGCATAACCTTGAGAAATAATTTTAACTATTTTGTATAATACCTCCATTATTTACTTGTTATACAGGTTTAATTTACGTACAGATGATTATTCTGGAAGGATATGAGTTAAAGAATATATAAAACCCAAACCATAAGTTTGATGTTTCCCTTTCCTCTCTCCTAATTTTTCTCAAGTACTGTGTTCCAGAAGTTCTAGAAAAGTCTCTGTAAAACCAGTGCAGCAGTTCCTTATTACAGAGACATTGTGATGTATAGTTAGTGGTTACTATCCACATGAAAACATTATGCAACCTTTAATTAACCATGACATTAGTTGGAAATCATGAGATAAAATCATGAATTGAGCTGTTAGCATTATCCCTTGTCAGATGCATATCTGACAGGCAGAGTTACTCTAAAAATGTAATCATGGCAAAAGATGAACAAACTGAAACACATCAATTTATATACATGTTTTTGACCGATTGTTAATTAAAGAAGTGTGAAGAATTTGATTAGAAACATGTATTTTGGAGAATAAGAAATATTTTACATACTACTGTCTACTAGTTGCCTAGTGTCTGAAAATAAACATTTTCATGATGTTTTTTCCTAGATGAAAGAGGCAGATGAGAGCACAGGATCTGGAGACGGACCAATAAAGTCAGTACGCAAAAGAAGAGTGCGGAAGGAGTAAGCTGCTCCAAGTGTTTTCCATTCCTGAGAGAGCAAGCTGGCATTCTCAAGCCGGTGTGCCAGAACTGCGCTTGAGTCAATCTGCACATCCCTTTTCTACTATCTAGCAATGTTATTCTTTCAGACATTTCTTTTAATCTTCTTTTTCAGAAATGAAAAATCTTTGAAGTTACCTGGTCTTTGAATTTAGAATAAAAGAAAAGTGGCACGTTACATGTCATATTTTAAGAGATTAATATCATTAGAGGTTACACAGTTTTCATAGTTAGGAGAAAGTTTTGGTTTCTATAGAGCAAAATAATATGCAGTGGCTTCATTGCTATGGGACAAGTCAGTTACTGGAATTTCCCCTTAAATGGCTATACCACAATATACCTGGTAGTTCTATAGTATAAGTGAGAGAGTGTTCTGTTGTACAGAGCTAATTGCAATAAAGTTTCTGTATGGCTGTTTGGTTCTGCCAACAATTGAAAGTGTTGTATGTGACCCACGTTTACCTAGTTTGTGTCAAATTATAGTTACAGTCCATTGTTCACTTAAATTACAGAATCCTTTAAAAAGGTGCTTTGTTGACAGACCAGTCAACAAAACAAAAACATGTCTATCATTCATAGAATCACTGGTTAATAGTGCAGCATATTTACATTTGAATACAGAGATAAGAGGTTTATCAAAATGAAATGGTGTACAGATATTTTTCAAGCTGTTATAGTTGAAACAAGTTGTTATATTTATGCCAGAATGGATTACCCTATTCACAAGATTGTTTATGCCTACATTGCTCTTAAAAACGAAATTTAAGTATTTTTTCTTCTTTAGACAATACCCACTTTAATAGGTAAATTATTATTGGGGTCTGATCATTAAGAGATTCTAGTGGCTGATAGATATCGTTCATCATGTTTTGTATTTTTATCTTTTTTCTGACAAATTCAAATCTATTGTCTTGTCTAGTTTCAAAGCTCCCTCTATGGTAGACAGACTGTTGCTCCTCTTTTTAAAATAGCATTGACCCTTGAACAACACAGGTTTGAACTGCATGGGTCCACGTGTATGTGGATTTTTTCCCCCAATTAATTCTACAGTACTCCGTGGTAGGTAGTTGGTTGAATCCTCCAATGCAGAATCTGCAGATAAAGATGGTCAACTGTGGGACTTGAGCATCTGTGAATTTTGATATCTGCCACGGGTCCTGGAACCAATCTCCCGTGGATACCAAGGGATGACTGTAGGTACCAGAAGTTACAGAAGTGCATTATAGTAGAACTGTATTATTCCATTTAACATATCTAAGAATTTTTCATGTTTGGGTGATAAACCCTTTGGAAGGTGATCTAAATCTTTGAGGCCATGAAACTACTTTAATACTATCTTGAGAACTCTGTACTAGTTGGGTGATATTTTGGATTCCTTCATGAACATACACATCCCATCATTGGGCTAGCCCCCTTCCCACTAATACATTTAAAGCTCATGTATAAGGAAAAAGAGTTTCTAACTTCTCCTCTGACTGAAGGAAGGAAGCCAAATAGCTAGTATAGCCACTATTCACTTATTTCAGAGAGTGAATTGAAAATACGTGCTTTATATTCATTGCTGTGTTCTGAACTTTCCATATATTGGTGGTGGACAATCTTAATACATGGCTAACCATACTTTGTATTTATTTAATATGAACTAAACCTAACATATCTTGCAAGGCCTCCTTTTCTTGCTATGTACTTTAAATGAACTAGACACATTGAATGGTTCTAGATGACAATGTTTTTGAAAGTAAACTGCTACTTCATGAGGTAAATTTTTATGGGAAACTTCTTGCTTGACAAGTGTCTTGTATGTGATCTTTTTTCCCCTAAAGATTTATTAAAGCTTTTTAAAATTTCTTGATTGCAGATTCATTTAAACTTTAACATTTGGTTAAACTCCATGAGCTTGCAGTGGTAAAATCTGAGCAACCAGTTTTGCCAGTTTGGTGCTCTTTTCTGGGGGTGTCCCCTCTGTGAATATACCATTGGCTGACAGGTTTAACCAAAACTTAAAAACGTCTGTGCTACATGCACTCAGTAGACAAAGCATAGAGTTTTCTTTAATAATGAGATCATTTTTTCCTTCTACCACCCTAATCTGACTCTATTGTTTTAAATATTTAAGTTTTATCCTTTTCTCTAATAAAGGAGAAAAATTAATGTATTTTGCTCTTTTCTTTATTTTTGGGGGGCTTTTTACCTTGATCAGACTAAAATAGCTTTCTTTTTCTTGAGTTTTTTTTTAAGGTAGCCTTGTTTCCATTGGTCATTCCTTAGAAAGATAGGCTACTAGAACTAAGAGCTTTTTTGAAGCATCAGTCCACATTTGCAAGAAACAAGATAAAATTCCTTACATGTCAATATTAACTACTAGTAATGAATTTAATGAACCTTAGAAATTTAGAATACTAATTTAGAAAACATAGTTTTCAGTGAAAACTATTCAGAATAGTTAAAACATAAATACCTTACTATAAATTTAAATATACTCTAGGCAACTGTGAAGTTTTTTCTTTTGTCAATTGTGGATATGTTTTTAACTTCAGCAGGATTTAGAGATGAAATATCAGATGGCTAATGTCGGATAACTCCTTAAGTCTCATGTAAAGAGTTTATTTAAACATAGTAATAGCATTTCTACATAAATTTTAAGAATATCTTCCCAAATTATAGCTCTTGTTTCCATAGTATGGTAGCTGTGGAGTTCAGGAAATAAAATTATCTCTAATCTGACAGGTCAGATGAAGTAGGCTGGCTGATGGGAGAAAAAAAATGTATTTTTGAATGCAATTGGAGTTTGTATGGAGATCAAAATACATGGAAGGAAGAGCAATGGTAATATTAGAAAAATATGGGCAACAGGGTAATTTTTAAATGATCTTTTAACACCTAACATGGTATCATATCACACATTTTATGTTTCTTAGATGAATATAATTTTACATCCTTTGTAAAATTTTGGAGTAATTTAACGTTTTAATTGAACATTTGGTAAGCCATCTATAGATAATATAGAAATTTAAAACAAGGCAAATACATTATACAGTTGATTACAATGTATTACTTTAGCTTTTGTCATTGCTCCTTAATACCCCCTTCCATTATATGGTAAATTAGGTCCTACTGCTGCTGCTAAGTCGCATCAGTTGCGTCGGACTCTCTGCCAACTCCATAGATGGCAGCCCAGCAGGCTTCTTCGCCATCCCTGGAATTCTCCAGGCAAGAGTACTCGAGTGGGTTGCCATTTCCTTCTCCTAAGTCCAATGTAAAGTCATAGTTATAGTAAATTTCATCAAATTTCATTAATCTCTATGATTTAAATGAAATAGTCTGTAGCTTGTCTTGTGGATAGAGTAGCTAGAAGGCAATTAAGTCTTTCTTTCAATTCTTAACCCTTTCATGTTAAGTCACATTCTCTTTTCTTTCATGATTTACAAGCGGTCTTAGCAACCACTAGAGGGTGATAAGTCAAGATAGGGAACTACACAATTATCAGGGAAGGTAAAGAAAGGCTACATTCTAAAGAACTAAGATCAATTTTGCTTTGCTTTGGATCATAAAAGTCATCCTAGAATATATAATTCACTTTCCATTTCTCATTTGGAAAAAGACTAGATCAGAGGGAAGAGTAATGAAAGGAATAGAAATGTGACATCAAACTGGTTGGAGGGCTTCCCTGGTGGCTCAGATGGTAAAGAATCTTACCTCCACTGCAGGAGACCTGGGTTCCATCCCTGGTCAGAAGATCCCTTGGAGAAGAGCATGGCAACCCACTCCAGTATTCTTGCCTGGAGAATCCCATGGACAGAGGAGCCTGGTGGGCTACAGACCATGGAGTCGCAAAGAGTCGGACCCGACTGATTAACAAACTGGTTGAAACTGCAAGCTTCGATGATTTTGGTTACTTAACAAATTGTTTTGTTGTTACACGTACAATTCCAAAAATCTGAAAATCTATAAAGTTTTTTCATGTTTGACATCAAAACTCATTTGGCAGCCAAACCTGACTTCCCTAACAGACTACTTTTAGTGTTCATTTATCTTAGTATTCATACATTTTGCTACAAAAGTGTTAATGTATTTGATTACAAGTACTTCCCCAAGCTGTATTGGTGTATGAGTTACATAATACTTTATCATGTATGAAAAATTCCAAATTCTGAAACATCTGGCCCAAGAGTTACAGATAAGGCGTTATGAGCTGTACTGACTTGCTGTAAGGAAAGTTCATAGTGAATATAAAGACAAATTTTGGATGGAACCTAGTGTTAGTATTGAGGGAATTTCTGCTGGAGACCC